GGCGGGGTCGGTCCCCGCCGGGCTCCCCGCCGGCAGCGGCTCCAGGAGGTCGGGGCAGCGGCTGGGGGAGGCAGCCGGGCTGGCGGGGCTGGAGCGCGGCGGCCCGGGCAGGTAGTGGAGCAGCAGCGTCTCAGGGGGCTCCGGCGAGGAGGAGGAGGAGGAGGAGGAGGAGGAGGGGGGGGCGGGCAGCGCGCATGGCCCCGCGTGGATGCTCTTGTTTTTTTAATCATTATTGTTTGCTCGGGCTTTGCCGTGAGGGCTGCAGGCTGCTGCATTCTTTTTCTTTTTTTTTCTTGGGGGGGGTTGTGAGGGTTTCCCCCTCCTGCCAAGGGCAGAGCATCACCCGACCCACTGGGGCAGCCAGTGCCTCCAGTCCCCACGGGGCTCCGGAGACACCCGTGGGGTGGCCCCAGCTCCCCAAGCTTCTCCCAGCTCTGGTGGCATCACGCGAAGGCCTTTTTGGAAAGCAAGAGGGGCTTTCTCCATGGCCCTTCTGCTTATTTCTAGTTTCTGCTGAAGTACAAGGGAGCTGTGGCTCAGGGGTGAAATGTGCCTTCAGGAGATGCTCTGGGGACAACCGTGCTCGCTCCAGGGATTGACCGTGTCAAACTTTGCCTTCCAGGCCCCTCCTGAGTCGGTCTGGTCCCTCATTCCACTCTAGAAATTTTTCGGTTGAAGTTATGCGCTTGACCTGGAAGAACCACGCTGCTGGCACCTGGGGAACCCTGTGAACTGGAACGGGAGAGGAGGTAAAACTGCTCTGGCCACCCAGCATGCTGCCCAAAATCCCTGGGAGAACCTGCCGCTGCTTCATTGAGTGGGTTGCTCAAACCTCCCCTCCATGGGGGTTTTTGGTTTGGTTGGTTGGGAGAAGAGAGAGAAAGGACCATGATTGCAATGCTGGGCATCTGGGGCTGTGCTTCCAAATGGGGATCGTGCTCCTAAACCACCCGGGCTCCTCTGAAATGCTCAGCCTTCCTACTCTGGGGCCCTCAGCCATCCCGTTTGCACAGACAGGTGGTTGTGTGCTGCCAGGAGATGTGCTTAGATGGGATCATGGACCTCCCTCTTGCGTTCCTTGGTGTTGGTTCCACAGTTGGCTCTCCATTGCTGTAGCGCTGTGGTGCAGCCCAGGGTGGCCTTTGAATAACTTCTTCCTTTAAAAAGTTGCATGATTCTTGCAGAGATGCTCCAGCCTGTTGACATGTTTGAGAAGGTTTGCCTGCTGGTGCCTCATGTCTCCTAATTGAAGGCGACCATTATTCTGGAACCAGAATATGGTTTAGTGATTATTTTTTTTTATTGCTTATTTCTTATTTATTTTTTTGTCAGAGTTAGGTTGATGGTTGGACTAGATGATCTTTAAGGTCCCTTCCAGCCTGGACGATTCTATGATTCTATAATTCCTGTGCTCTCAAGTGGGACCAGTCAGTCCTGCAGGATGGGGCCTCCCTTGTCCTGCTTTGGGGTTAAAATTGCCACCTTCCTCAAGCACGAGCCCCTTGGGGTGTCCTGTTAGACTGCAGGGTTACCTCATCTGGCTGCTTCTCTTGACCATCAGGCCTGTCCCCTCCTCTCTTGAACTTGTGGTGGGACCACATCTTGTGCACGCTCATGGCAGGGTGGTCTTGTCCAACCTCCTCTTGTCCTTCCTCCTTGGAGGTAAATCACCCATCCCTTCAAGATGAGGATGTTGCTGGCTAATTGCCCTTCCTCTTCCTCCTCTTCCCGGGGCAGGCAGAGAAACCGATGATGGTTGCACATCTGCTGCTCTTGCTGAATCAGGCTGCCTGGGATGCCCCGGGGCAGTGCTGCCTTCCCTGCCCTCCTCCAGCCTGAAGGCCAGCAGAACCCTCCCTGGCAGCCCTCCCCTCCCGGCTGTTGGTGCCCTCACTTGCCCTTGGCTGGTTTCCCTGCCCGTGGATGCCAGGGAGGTGGTGGGGTAAGGGTTGGAGACTTGTGCCTGGCTCCGAGCTCTGCTTCCTCCTGCAAACAGAAGGGGGGGGGGGGGG